CAAGAATTATTCAACAGGATGGTGTGATGAAATGCTTTGAAGCAGCTTTAAAATGGACTGTCATTGTTTTGGGTTGTTCCTCATCTAATTTTGATTTTTGTCACAAAATCCTACAGACATTTCTAACCACTGAAAACAGTTAAAACTTGAGTCGGATTTGATTACTTACTTGAGGATGGCTGGTTGCAAGTGCCAGGATACGCATTTTGTCCCCATCGGTACTCATCAGGTGGATGTATCTGCACCCCAGTCAGTGATAGTATTCCCACTGAGACTCGAACTCTACACCTAATCACTTCTAACACCAAAGCGGTATCCATTAGGCTAGTAAGGGTTTGTTTCAGTGTTTACTGTTAATATTGAGCCTGTATCCTCAACCTATATGATTGTGCCTTCTTATAGGTATACAAAGATGGGTTGATACAATCCATTCCTGCATTTCTCAAGTATTTTAATGAGTGGAATATAATTTTCAAGTCAATTTACTTCATTGATGATAATGGCAAAGTTGTGTGTACTAGCTGATGTTTGACTTTTTAAAAAGATTCCATGCACAAAAGCAGAACAAACTATTCTAATTGTCATATTTAATATCTATACTGTGTGATGATTGAAGGTGAAATGAAAATCTGGACAGCGGTCGGATTCGAACCAGTGACCATCAGGTTCCCAGCCCGATGCTCTACCGACTGGCCTACAAGGTCCGACTGCTAACTAGATTTTTATTTCACTTCAATCACCAAGGGTTTTGTCAGACTACCATGTGAATTCGTGATGCGTTACTACGGCTTGACCTTATTCACACTGGCTGCCTAGTCAGGGCTTCTCATCCCAATACAAACCGAGTTGAATTAGAGAAGGGAAGCATCATATTGATTATCATTGTGGCTTCCTGAGATAGCCGTAGTTTGACAGACTAGTATTTATACTGGGTGATGGTTGAAGGTGAGATGAAAGTCTGAACCGCTGCCGGATTCTAACCAGCGACCACTGGGTTACCTACCCGATGCTCTATCAACTGAGCTACGAGGTTCGACATTTAATATCATTAACTTCAAGAGTAATGCGAAAAGTCATCGACACGGTTGAGCAAAAACAATTTCATGCTGAGTACACGCACACTTAAAATGTTATTGAACATATTTACTAAATTTTATATTGCTGAAGAAAAATGGAATAGCGTGTTTATGAAGTAAGGTCAACCCATTACTTAATCAACTAGTAGAAGTGTCCTAAAACAGTGAATTGAAGGCCGTGCTATATCGTGAACTGACATAACTTGGAAACTGTGAATTACTGAAAGCCCACCCAGTGACTAAATGATAACGTGGTGGCAATGGTACTTGGACGTCCTGGGTTCGACTGCTGGTAGGGTCATAGGTGCGCACTGCTGACGAGTCCCGTACTAAGACGAAACAGATGTATAGTGCTTCCAGTGGTCCTCCAAATGATGTCACTGCGTGATGAATATCAACCTGAAATCAATCAATCAATTCCCAAAAACCTCCAAATTTAATTGAGAATTTTTAAAGATAACAATAGGATAATTTTTCTTAAAAATTCATTCACATATTATACAATTTCTGTGATAAATGCTCGTAGACAAATGTTCTTCCTTCTCATGATATAACAGTGAAGTTGATAGGGTTTACATTGGAATTCACAGAATTCAGTGTTGAATCAGAGCAATACTGCTGGACTAGCTAAACATCCCCATCAGAGGGTGAATTAACTCGGAGAAGTGTTGAAGACCTTCAAGCACTGGCCAGTTGTCTCGTCTTTATATGGGACGTTCTAGGAGTCCAAGCCCATGACTCTACCACAGACCGAACCCATGACCTTCAGGTCCCATGGCAAGTACGTTACCAATGAGCCACTCGGTCGGAATCCACTCCGGTTTCCAACAATTCTTCAAAGGATGTCATTCTGTGATCAACACTCTACCCTAGATAATCCACACATGACGTAACTATTTTTATTTTGTAACCATTTTGTTTATTTCATCCTAATACGAAACTTTTCTATGTGATGCAATTTATATTTACCTTTGTTCAGAAATTACTCTTGAACGTCCTATCCTTTTTACAATATATTGACAAATGTATAACTAAAATAATCATTTCATCGAATAGAAAATTTTTCCTATGATACAATCGCCTATTGAGAAACTATTTGGTAAGTTAAGAAAGATAATTTTTCCTTGAGTTCAGACACAATGAATAATTCTGATTAGTAGTGTAGATCTTTTCTGTCTTAACCCGTTATTTATTGAATGATAATGCTTAGTTCAAAAATCAGTCAGTCATAGAACTAACTTTATTTCCGTCGTCCTCGGTTCGGTATCAGTTTTATACTGTATTTCTGATAAATAAATGTTTGCAGAATGCATACATTATGCCAAAGGCCTGTAGAATTCTAATGTCTTTGAGAAATTCGCTGAATAACCCTAAACTATTTGATTGAACTTTCAAGGGAATATAAAATCCGATTGTTTTAGGAAACTGGAAAAAAAAAACTTTTTATTCCCATGTTCCTGGATCTTGACAGTTTAAATAAAATCAGGAACCAGTTAAAATTAGGGTACAGTTTAGTAGTGATTATTAGGCACATCTTGGTAATGAAACCCAAACTTCCAAACTACTACAACTTAATTCAATACCGCAGCTGATAAAAGAGATTTACAGATTATTTTCTTCCTTACAATTTAAGTGTGAAGCCGCATACCTCATAACATAAACACTGTCGTTACATACTCAACGCCTTCAGTCTACAAATCATGATAAATATCTGTAACCGTAACTCCCTAGGGCAGTGAACGTCTAAATCCGGACGAATCGCTCATCGTTTTACCGATATTGAGAAGAACGGAAACTTTCTCAGATTTTCGTTAAAAAGCCCCCCTGATTGTTCGCTTAAGAGACGATAGAATTTTGTAGTATTACTAGTCACTAACCGTATATTGTTGTTAATTGCAATCGAATGATATTTGCACATACTCAATATGTTCTTCGGAACAGGCAGGCTTCAGGAAGTACAAATCATGTGCAGACCAAATTGCAACGTGACGCTACGCATCATCATAGAACAGAGCATAGAATGGCAATCAGCTCTCTACCTCAACTTTATCGACTTTGAGAAGGCCTTTGACAGCGTCGACCGAGAGGTAATTTGGAAACTGCTTCACTACTACGGAGTACCGCAAACCTTTATCCGCCTCATCCAACAACTATATGAAGATGCCACATGCCAGCCAAGTAATTCACAATGGGAAGCTCAGTGATACTTTTGAAGTGAAGACAGGAGTGAAACAAGGTTGCCTACTATACCCCATGATATTCCTGATTGTGGTCGACTGGATCATGCAAAAAACAGTGGGGAGCTGTGAGAAGAGAGGGATACGCTGGCTGGACTGTAGAAAAGAACCTAGAAGACTTGGATTTCGCCACTGATGACTTGTGCCTGATGTCACATAAACTTGAAGATCTGCAGGCAAAAACTAACAAGTTGGCAGAAGAGGCAGGGCAGGCGAAGACGGGACTTCAGGTGAATATAGAGAAGACAGAGGTGATGAAGATACCGCACCACCACCATCAACAACAACAAACTCCAGTCACCATCAACGGAAGAAACTTAAAGGAAGTAACCTCCTTCACTTATCTAGGAAGCACTGTTTCAACTACAGGCGGCACAGACGAGGATATCAAAGTCAGAATCAGAAAAGCAAGACAGGCATTCATTAGCCTGAAACCAGTGTGGAGATCGACTGCACTCAGCATGCGGAACAAGATCCAGATTTTCAACACCAATGTCAGTCAAGTCAGTGCTTCTGTATGCTTCAGAGACTTGGCGCGTTACGAAAGGGATTTCCAATAAACTACAGACATTCATCAACAACTGCCTACGCTGGCTCGCTACTGAAGATCAGATGGCCAGAAATAATAAGCAACAAGGAACTCTGGGAACGAACCAACCAAGAACCTATCACCCAACAAATATGCAGGAGGAAGTGGAGATGGATTGGACATGCACTGAGAAGGTCTACTGCGGACATCACGCGTCAGGCCAGGAACTCGAGTGGAATGCAAAGCGTAAGCGACGAGTTGAGTGTCCGAGGGTGACATAGAGGAGATCGTGTGAGGAGGAAATGAGAGGTTGTGGGCTGTCGTGGAACCAGGTTGAAAAGATCTCAGAGAACAGAGGTCACTGGAGACGTGCTACTGAATCCGTATGTTCCACTAGGAACCCAAGGGACTAATAATAATATAATAATAACAATATGTTCTTCATCTTGAAATAAGATGAGAGGCCTTGACTTTCAAACTTTGGAGAGAATCTGAACCACAGGCATCCAAATTACCGGTTCAGTAGTTCACCGGATGTCATCTCATTGACCTGAAAACTAACAAGATTTCAATTTCCATTCTAACTTTAAGAATAAAACTTCATACTGAAGTTAGTACTGATGATGTCTAGTAAGGCGATGAAGGCTTCATGATTAAACAACCCAGCTCAAAGAACACAATACAACCAAGAGACTTCTAAGCAATACAGTAAAAAAAAATTATGGAGACTAGAAAGAACAGTTTAAAACTACTTATATCATCAGTCAATAGTATGCATTCCATATCTCATATCCCATTGCTTCAGATAATCAATAACCTCGTCTTAAGAATATCCTGATTTCAGAAGGACTCAGAAGGATAGAAAATATATTGAAAACTAGTTTGATACCTGAGTCATATGACCTCAGACAGGATAGAAAAATTATGAGTGGACGAGAATCGGCATAACATAAAGTGAGTAAGACAGGCACATAAATATAATTGGTTAAAAAGAGTCAAAATTAATTTTTAATATGGCCATATATGGATATGAGAAATCAAATAAATCTATTGGTGATAAACCATTGAGAAACGATTGGTTTGCCAACTTTATGCATACTGATGACCATATTAGGCAGTAATAAGATTTATATAAGTGTAAGTTGTGTATCTTGACTTAGCTTTTTAAATCTACACATTCAGAAATCATGAGTGATGAGGATGTTGCCGCCCTTGTCATCGATAATGGATCTGGAATGTGCAAAGCCGGGTTCGCAGGAGATGATGCACCTAGAGCTGTGTTCCCTTCAATCGTCGGCAGACCCAGACACCAAGGAGTAATGGTTGGAATGGGCCAGAAAGACAGTTATGTTGGAGACGAAGCTCAGTCGAAACGTGGTATCTTGACTCTAAAGTATCCGATTGAGCATGGTATTGTGACGAACTGGGACGATATGGAGAAGATCTGGCACCACACTTTTTACAACGAGTTGAGAGTTGCTCCAGAGGAACACCCAGTGTTGCTGACAGAGGCTCCATTGAACCCAAAAGCCAACCGTGAGAAGATGACCCAGATAATGTTTGAGACGTTTAACGCTCCCGCGATGTATGTGGCTATTCAGGCAGTGTTGTCCTTGTATGCTTCTGGTCGTACTACTGGTATTGTGTTGGACTCTGGTGATGGTGTTACTCACACTGTACCCATATATGAGGGTTATGCATTACCTCATGCTATTCTACGTCTAGATCTTGCTGGAAGAGACCTTACAGATTATTTGATGAAGATCTTGACTGAGAGGGGTTACAGTTTTACGACAACTGCTGAACGTGAAATTGTCCGTGATATCAAAGAGAAGCTTTGTTATGTTGCTCTAGACTTCGAACAGGAAATGGCTACAGCTGCTTCCAGCTCTTCTTTGGAGAAAAGTTATGAGCTTCCTGATGGTCAGGTCATTACCATTGGTAATGAACGCTTCCGTTGTCCTGAAGCTTTGTTCCAGCCTAGCTTTTTGGGTATGGAAGCTTCAGGGATACATGAAACCACATACAATTCTATCATGAAGTGTGATGTGGATATTCGTAAAGATCTGTACTCCAACACTGTATTGTCCGGTGGAAGTACAATGTATCCTGGTATTTCAGATCGTATGCAGAAGGAGATTGGCTCTCTTGCACCCAGCACCATGAAGATTAAAATTGTTGCACCTCCTGAACGTAAGTACTCAGTATGGATTGGTGGTTCTATTTTGGCTTCCTTGTCCACCTTCCAACAGATGTGGATTTCCAAACAAGAGTATGATGAATCCGGTCCGAGCATAGTTCACCGCAAATGCTTCTGATTTGGCTTATCTATTTTGTACAAATTACTAATATTGAGTGAATTATAATGATTTCGTGATTTTGACTTTCTCTGTCTTTGAGTCTTACGGGTTTAACTGGGTTGGACGTTAGCTGGCTGGTGAAGATCTGACGGTGACTCAACCGTACTGTTTCAGAATCGGAAAGTTCCGGAACCTTGTAGGTTTAGGCGTTGGTAAGTAATACCTGTTATACAAATCTAGGTTGATAAGCCATGACTCAGGTATCGGAGGATAGAGATAGTACTTTAATGGACAGACGGCCTTGGAGACAGTCCATTGCACGTTTTTTAATAGCTGGCTAGTCGTCGGTCAGGAAGTTTAGATTCGTAAGACGCTCGTGGTTGAACCTAATCATTCGTATTTTTAAGGTGCAGATGGTAATTACGTCGGTTTAAGGCATTCGCAAGGCTCATGAGATTGTAATCCACTCAGTCAATCTGAAGAACTTGGAGTATATTCAGTTTAGTACGTAGTCACATGGTTTTCATTTTTCTTAGAATGGTGTTGATATTCCAAAGACTCCTGTGTATGTGGGTTGGACGACTTCTACCCTTAAAATTTTCCATGATGTAGATGTGACACGTGCTAGCGGAGCGAATAGGCGAACTTGGGGGGGGGGATCAGCGAACTAAAGTCACATCTCTTTTCTCTGTATCTAGAGCTGGTTGGTATAACTGAAATAGGGGTTTGTTTTATATAGGGCTGAGGTCATCTGTCAGCTGAATTCTCCTGCACGGCATCTGTACTACGAGAAGCTGAAGATAGAGAATCTTGGTGGTCGGCGTCGACTATGTGACTCAAACATCAGATCAATTATCTTGGAAGTTTGCCAGGTGCGCACCGTCACTAGTCATGAGAAACATAAGTGGGCCCAACTCAATCCCACTTTGGAGCAAAGCAGAGAAAAAAACAATCGCTCACTCAATTTTGCACTAGTTTTCTTGATTTCTACCGGCTCTTATCAGATTGTACGACAAAAAGTTATCCAAATGTGACCCTTTATAGTACCTACTGGTTGTGGAGGAAATTAGTTATTGCTTCCGTTGAAGACATAAGCATTACATACATGCTATTACGGCTTCTTAAACGTTTACTTTTATTAAATATGTTGCATACACGCAAAGTTAACCGTAGTTTCAAGGATGATATAGCTGACATCTCTTCCTTCATACTGGACGAGCGATTACTAGAACTTTTCATGAAATTCCTTCAAATATGAAAGCTAGTGGATAGTATTTCTTCGTCTTTAGTCTATTTGTAGGGGAATCTGAGTTATTGTTGTGTATCGCATTTGTTGTGATACTACAGCTGATTTGCTCAGGCATTCGCGGATTCGGATTCCACTCCCACTTGCTTATGTCTAGTTACCCAGACATAATAAAAGACTTATGCATATTAGTCTGGTACGTGAGTGTGTATACATATAATGAGTTAGCTTTTATGTCCTGTTGACTATTGCATTGTTCACATAATGAGGATTTCCGTTCGTGTCGCGTATGTTGGATAATATATGACCAGATGGTCAAGAAGATACAGCCCGTAATTTCGTTAGATTTATTTCGAATTCAATAGTTGATCTTTAATGCTGGATACGCTGACGGTAACAAGAGGCTGGCAATATTTTATAATAAAACCCATTGCTCTTAAATAGTAATAAGGATGAATATGTTCATTGGTAAACAGGCATCTGTATACTAAAGTTTTGGCTGATTTAAAGTTGCATAAATTGGTACAGGAAAGATTTTTTAGAAGCAAAAGACGAGTGGACCTTGGACATCAAGTGTTATGTGATATCGGGCTTTTATCCGTTCTATATACATATAATTGTTTCATGCTCATATCACTGTTATGTGAAAATTCCCATTTGGATATTCAGAAATTAAACAATGTGAGAGAAAAACGTTTTTATTGAATTACTTCCTCATCGATGACTTCACAGTAATATATTATCACTTCGAAAATTTGAAATAACAGCAGATCAGTGGTGAAGTCCTGTCTAGGCAGACAGTGTGGATACGATCAAGCGGTAGCAATAACATGTCACGAATTCACATGATAGTCGAGGAAAACCCTTGGCGATTGAAGTGAAATAAAAATCTGGTTAGCAGTGGGACCTCGTACCTCAGTCGATAGAGCATCTGACCGGGAATCCAATGGTCGCTGGTTCGAATCCGACCTCGGTTTAAATTTTCATTTCATCTTCAACGGGATGATAATTAATCAAGGTAATTAGAACAGTAGCTAAGGTTTAAACTAATCGCATGGTAAAACTTGTGACATTTTAGGCAGGTTACAAAATGGATAGTTTGTATATTAGTAACTACCATGAAAAAATGAATGATCATATCAAGTGGTCAGTTGTTGACGATAATTAGAGACAATAAGAAGAACAATATGGCTGAAACTAATAATAATAGTGACAATACTAACAGTAATAATGGTAATTATTTGTTTGATGAACAAGGCGAAGAGTTATGTTTATACAGATAAGCTTTATAGACGGCCAAGGCAAAGAAAGAGGCTGTACGAATTTCTTCTGAACATCATTATAGACTCAACTTAGTCAGGTGGATTCCAATGGCTCCTGCTCTATACAAAAGATGAGCTCGTAGAGTATGGGTAAACTTAAAAGAATTGTGTTAAATAACTTTAAGGTCAATATGAAAACTTACTAATCCGGTGACCAATGTCCATCAGATGACAGAGTATTGAGCTTCGTATCAACCTTGCTTGTCGTTTACTTAACCATTATGGATGATGATCAGCAACTCAACAATGAACTTGCACGAGTAGTTGCACTGATAATTGTACATAAAGGAGATGAAGTCAGGTAGTCTGTCTTTGATTCGTAAAGTTTTCAACGACCAGCATAACTTCTGCATTAAATGATATCCTGAGGCGTTGTGTCACAATTTCGTTGATGATTCCACCCTGAAACTGTAGTCCTAGGAGCAGTGATTTCTTGAAAGCCATTCGGTAATCTGGTTTTTATCTTAGGTGTGTTCATATTTTTAGCCAGAAACTTTTCTGGATATCCACTATCATTGAGTAGATCATGAATAATTTGAAGTTCTTCATCGAAAGTATCATCTGAATAGATAAGTTTGTGTGCGCTAAAGTAACAAATGATATCCACCTATGTGTGTAAATGTACTTCTCCTTGTAAGGTCATCAACAACCTTAACAGCTCAGTAGTGGCGTCTGTGACTGACTGTATCCTTGTGCCGTGTAAGATTGAAATTCAGACGGAGTTAAAAGATTACCCAATGATGTAGATATTCCTTATGAGTGAATAAAAAAGCAAATATGATACCTAGATAAAGCAGAGATTCCTGCCAGAGTCATCATTTTTAAATATCTGAAAAACGTAATTAAAAAAATCAGTTAACCTTTCTAGTGTATGTTATTATTATTATTTGTCTCTTGAGTTCCTAGTGGAACATAAGGTTTCAGTAGCACGTCTCCATTACACTCTCTTCCCTGCAATCTTTTCAGCCTGGCTCCACGACAGCCCACAAGCTCTCATTTCTTCCTCACACCATCTCCTCCATGTCACTCTCACCTCGGACGACCAACTCGTCGCTTCCCATCTGGGTTCCACTCGATATCCTGGCCTGACGCGTGATGTCCATCACTGGTCTTCTCAGTCCATGTCCAATCCATCTCCACTTACTTCCAGTGCATATTTGTTCAGCAATAGCTTCTTGCTTCATTGGTTCGCTGCTAGCCAGCCAGAGTTCCTTGTTGCTTATTCTTTCTGGCCATCTGATCTTCAGTATCGAGCCAGACTAAGCACTTCTTCATGAATGTCTGTAGTTTGTTGGAAATCCCGTTCGTAACACTCCAAGTCTCTCAACCATCACATACAAGCACCGACTTGACTGACATTACTGTTGAAAATCCGGATGCGGATGTTGTTCACGCTTTATGCTGAGTGCAGTGCAGTGTAGTGCAGTGGAGTGCAGAAGATCTCCACACTAGTTTCAAGTTAATGAACGCCTGTCTTGTTGTGTTTCCAATCCTTTCTGGCTTCGACGTCCTTGTCTATGCTTGTGCCTGTGCCAGCGCCTGTAGTCGAAGCAGTGCTGCCTGCCTATATAGGTGTAGGTGAAAGAGACTACTTCCTTGAAGTTTTTCCCGTTGATGGTGATTGGAGCGTGTTGTTGTTGGTGGTGGTGTTGGTTGGGTAACTTCATCACCTCTGTCTTCTCTACGTTCACTCGAGTTTGTGCCACAAGACATTAGACACAAGTCATCCGTGGCGAAATCCAAATCTTCTAGGATCTTTCCCCCGGTCCAGCGTATCCCCTTCTCCTTGCTCCTCACTTTTTGTTGCATGATCCAGTCAACTACAATCAGGAATATCATGGGTGATAGTAGACAGCGTTGCTTTACTCCTGTCTTCACTTCAAAAGCATCACTGAGCTTCTCATTGTGAATTACTTGGCATGTGGCGTCATTAGTGTATATAGTAGTCCCATTTATGAATAGTCGATAGCATATTACCAACGCTAGTATTAAAGAATTCTGCTTAAGTTTTTCAAATGATTAAAACCAATAAAAGTAATCGAGCACTGGACAGCTTTTTCATTTCACTGTTAGACTTCTGCAAACTGTTGACTACGCGTGGGATCCATCTCTCAAACCTCTTTGGGTATATCTAAACACTCAGCTGTTGATTCAGCTTCAGTTGGCTCATCATATCAAGTTGCTTTTATAATAATTTCATCAGTACATATCCGCCCTCATCACCGTATACTTACTTGGTTTCAAAGTGAATTTGTTGGCCAGCGATCAGCAACTGAGACTCGTGACAGAATGATTAAAACCCTTCAATAATTTAATTATCATTCTATTGACCATTGTCATTTATTTAAGAGTAGACGATTTTCATTGTTAAGCAGCCGAGTGGTTACTAGTTTACTAATGAGTCCTTAATAGGACGAAACCTTTTTCTTAGTTTATTCTGTTGACCATGAATAAATAGATTATCTCAAAACAAAAGCTCAGTGACTAAGCCAATGATAATTGAGGATTTGGATG